CGAGTCCTGGAGGCCTATTTTGGAATGTTTGCTAGTTGTTTTGCTTGAATTGGATTTCTCCCAGTTTGTTTTTTGTACAGCTGGGAAAATAATCTTCAAGCTTCCCTGAAGTGTTTGAGATGATGCTTGACTGCTGGAGAACGTTATTAAAGTAAAACAATCTCCAGGTCCAGGAAGTCACTTCTTTACTTGTGTTTGGGTTGCTCTCACTGAGCGGCATTGTTGTGTGTGGTTTGAAATGCTGACTCTGAATCACACCGCTTGTCACTACTTGCTCTGTGACTTTGAACTGGTTATTTAACTTCTCTTGTGCCTCTGGCAGTTCTGCTCTCTCCTATAGGGTCATTGTGACTCAGAGTCTCCTTGATGGCCCTGAATGAGTGCCGGCAGCACTCTTGAGTAAGCATTGTACTGCTAAATGCAGGGTTGGTGGTTCAAATCCATTAGCCGCTTTGCTGGAGAAAATGGTGGCTATCCTTGGAAACTCTATGGACTTGGTGGCATAGGATTTTTTCCTCTCTCTCTCTCTTTTTGAGTACCTCACAAGGATAGTAATATTTCATAATACTAAATGTTTTATATTGAAAAGTAAAATCAACAGGACAGTAACATTTAGAATAATGCTTATTAATCATTTACAAATGTCAGTAATTGTCATTTTCTTCAGTGTTATTAACATATCACAGAATATATTATTATTATCAGATTGGGGAGATTTGCTGGCATATTAGTTACATGTTAGTCTAAGTGCAAGATCAGCCATTTGAAACCATGAACTACTCCAAGGGGCGAAGATGAGGCTTTCTACTCCCATCAAGAGCTACAGTCTTGGAAACTCAGGGGCAGTTCTACCCTGTCCTCGAGGGGCTCTGTGAGTCGGAACTACCTTGCTGCCAGTGAGTTTGGAGGGTTTAAAAACATTAACATATTTGTTAGCATAAGTTGAAACTCGATCCTGATAAATCATTTAGAAGATACCATCAGCTGACTTCTTGCTTAGAGACTTTGTCTCCATTTGTCTCCCCAAGTGAAACAGAGACATGGTTTGGTGGAGAAAGAGGAGGAGAATAAGTTTAGGTTGAAGCATGTTGAATTTGGGGTGTTCATGGAACATCAATCTTGAGGTGTATAAATTTGAGGAAAGACTCCTTGGCATATGGGGATAGTGAAAGCTGAAAAGGTGAATTTGTCAGTTTAAGGACCACTCGCAAGGATTTCTTGGCCCTAGATTGGAAACCAGAGGATGCCGATCTTTAAACAGTAGGGGGACAACTCTGCCTTTGAGTCAATTCTGCCTCATAGCGACCCTATAGGACAGAGTAGAACTGCCCCTGTGGGTTTCTGAGACCATCAGTGTGTACAGAGGTTGGAGCCGCATCTCTTTCTTCCACAAAGAGGCTGGTGGTTTCCATGTATGTTGAACAGGAAGAGGGCCTTCTCTCTGAGACTGGAGGAAAGAGGATCTAAGTAGGTCTTAGTCAATCTCTAAGCTAGATGTTCAATCCCCCAATAAAATAGAAGGTGAGTTTGTCTGTTGAAAGGAATCAGAGTTTTTAGGGGAACATAAAGGAGTAGCATGGTAATTGAGGGAATTAGGAAAGGGGCTGACTGATTGATTCCCTGTGTTAGTCTGGGTTCTCTACAGGAGCAAATCCAATAGACTGTATATATAAACATATAGAATGGTTTATTTTAAGGAAAAGATTCTCACAATTGTAAGGGCTAGCAAGTTGATCATGTCATGCAGCTAGCTAAAGACTTTTGCTCACTCAAGTGGTTGCCAGGGCCAATGAACACAAAATCTTCAGGTCAGGTGGCTGTCTGAAGACTTCTATAGGCTTGTTTCAAGAACGGGGATGTCGACCTGTGAGAACAAGTGCAGGTTTGAGAGAGGGAGCGAGGGAGTGGCAGAGAAAGAGAGAGAAAGATGGGGCAGGATGGGAGATGACAACCATGGCAGCAGGAAGCTTGTCAGAATATCTACTAGAGCAGGCTGCCACCTTAGAGAGCACTCTGCCCCCTCCCCCAGGAAAACACCCCCTTTAACTGAATCTGATCAAATCACCTCTTGGAGGCAACGACATATTACATTATGGAAGAGGAATCAGTCCAAGGTCTTCCGCTGAGAAATAGCCTAGCTAGGTTGACACATGGCATTAATCATTCCATTCCCTAAATAAGAATTTTTTTTTTACATCTATACAGTATTTAAGTATGCTATCCATTCGAATAGAGATATCCTTAAATACAGTGCTATAATAGAGATTGGCTCTGTCTTGTTTTTGTGCATGTTATTATCTCTGCAGGTCTGTCTAAATAAGATAGGCTGGATGAACAATCTGGAGGAGAAAACAACAGGACCACTGGTTCGGGTGGGTGGGGGCGCATGGGAGAGGGGGAGGTAGTGGAAAAGGAAGTGGTATTAACAAACCCAGGGACAAGGGAACAACAACTGACCTGAAAACGGTGGTGAGGAAGGTGTAGGAGGCCTGGTAGGGCTTGATTAAGGGTAATGTAACCGAGAAGAATTACTGTAACCCAAATGAAGGCTGAACATGATAGTGGGCAAGAGGAATGTAAAACGAAATAGAGGAAAGAACTAGGAGGCAAAGGGCAATTATAGAGATCTAAATATAGGCATGTGCATATGTAAATATATTTATATATGAGGATGGGGGAAATAGAGCTATGTGCATATATTTATAGGTTTAGTATTAAGGTAGCAGATGGACATTGGGCCTCCACTCAAATACTCCCTCAATGTATTGTTCTATTTAATTGGCACTCAATGATGCTCACCTTCCCAACACAATCGCTGAAGACAGATGTGTACATAAGCAAATGTGGTGAAGAAAGCTGATGGCACCTGCCTATCAAAAGTTATAGCATCTAGGGTCTTAAAGACTTGAAGGTAAACAAGCGGCCATCTAGCTCAGAAGCAACAAAGCCCACATGGAAGAAGAACACCAGCCTGTGTGACCATGAGGTGTTGAAGGGATCAGGCATCAAAGAACAAAAAAATCATATCTTTGTGTGCCTACCTTCCCGATATGATCATTGAAGACAAATATGTGCATAATCAAAGTTGGTGAAGAAAGCTGATGGTGCCCGGCTATCAAAAGATATAGTGTCTGGGGTCTTCAAAAGCTTGAAGGTAAACAAGTGGCCATCTAGCTCAGAAGCAACAAAGCCCACGTGGAAGGAGCACACCAGCCTGTGTGATCACGAGGTGTCGAAGGGATCAGGTATTAGGCATCAAAGAACAAAAAAATCATATCATTGTGAAGGAGGGAGGGGGTGCAGATTGGGGACCTAAAGCCCATCTGTAAGCAACTGGACATCACCTTACTGAAGGGTCGGTGAGAGGAGACAAGCCAGTCGGTGCAGTGTAGCAATGATGAAACATACAACTTTCCTCTAGTTCTTAAATGCTTCCCCCCCCACCCCACTATCATGGTCCCAATTCTACCTTACAAATCCGGCTAGACCAGAGGATGAACACTGGTACAGATAGGAACCAGGAACACAGGGAATCCAGGGCAGATGAGCCCTTTAGGACCAGTGGTGAAAGTGACGATACCGGGAGGGTAGAGGGAAGAAGGTGGGGTAGAAAGAGGGAGCCGAGTACAAGGATCTACATATAACCTCCTCCTTGGGGGACGGACAACAGAAAGTGGGTGAAGGGAGACATCGGGCAGTGTAAGATATGACAAAATAATAATTTATAATTTATCAAGGGTTCATGAGGAAGCGGGGAGCTGGGAGGGAGGGGAAAAATGAGAAGCTGATACCAAGGGCTCAAGTAGAAAGAAAATGTTTTTGAGAATGATGAGGGCAACAAATGTACAAATGTGCTTGACATACAATTGATGTATGTATAGATTGTGATAAGAGTTGTATGATCCCCCAATAAAATGATTTTTTAAAAATTAGGGAGGAGGGAGCAGGAGGGGAAAAATGAGGAGGTGATACCAAGGAACAAATATTTTGAGAATGACGAGGGCAACAAGTGTAAAAATGTGCTTGATACACAAAAGGAGTTGTATGAGCCCCCAATAAAATGATTTTTTTTAAAAAAAGGGGAATTAAGAATTTCCCCCCCTAATCTCCTAAAGCCTTAGAAACCCCTAGGAGCAGTTCCACTCTGTCTGAGGTCACTGTGAGTTGGAATCGACTAGATGGCAGTGTTTTTTCTTTCTTTGGTATAGGGACCATGAATATCCCCTGAGCGGGGGAGGACTACTGTTAGTATTGCAAGACAGAATGCATTTGTTTAGCATCTCCTGTGTATTGAGCACTGTGCTGCTGCTTGCTTCCTATAAGAGTCAGATGGGTACTGGCTGTCTTACTCAAGGAAGGTATGAGTTAATAGCTTGTGTCATATGATTTATGTACTATAGCTTAAAAATTGTATTTAATATGAGCTCTGTCATCTACTATGAGGCTTTGAAAAAGAGAGATTCCAAAATATAGGGGAAAAGAGGCAGAAAATTTACACACACAAACACAAATGGGCTACATATAGGTGTTCTGATACGACAGTACTTGTAGTCCTGAGACTTGACTAGCAAACATTTGTGTGTCTGTAATGGATGGATGGCATTAAGCAGAAGCATAGAATGAGAAGAACCCAATATAGTCAATTCTAGTCTTTGCTCTGATTTTCATTCTGATGTAGAATCATAGACTTCGGCAATCCTTTCCACAACTAGTTCGTGGCCCTCTCTTAGCGGGGCCCTGAGGGTTCGGAGATGACTGAGGCACCTTCCGTTTCTGTCCTCTGGGAATGCGTTCAAAGAGACAGACGTGAAGGAGATCACCCCAGGTCCGTGTAGAAGGGATACAAAGTAGCGCGATCATCCCAGGCCAGTGTAGAAGGGACACAAAAGTAGTGCGCATGAGTTCGGAGCTTTGGGGATGCAGTGGAGGACGCATGAATAAATGACTGCATTGCTATGACTACAGCAATTGTTTCTCCCTTTTTCTTTTCTTTAGTTGGAGAACATCAACTGACAGGCCATAAAGTAGCAGTTAAAATCTTAAATAGACAGAAGATTCGCAGCTTAGATGTTGTTGGGAAAATTAAACGAGAAATCCAAAACCTAAAACTCTTTCGTCATCCTCATATTATCAAACTGTAAGTAGCTTTGTGCGGTGGCACAAAAGAGAAACTGTCTTGCAATTTTCTGATAAATTTACAAATAACTGACTTTCTCTAGTGAACCTCTGGAAAAAACAACCATTTTCATCTTCATGCCAGAAAGTGTAACTTTGTTTACCCCCGTCAACCCTTTTTGGGGGACATTTTTGCTTCAGAATGAAGCCATCGCTTTAACCGTTGGCCGGCCGTAGTTTGAAGTGACGAATGTAGCCTTGCGAGTTGACTCTTGTGGTATTCACTTTAAAGGTCATCCAAGACCGCTAGTCTTAAGTTAATTTTTGTAATTTTCTGGTTTTTAAATAAAATTCAACTGGTTCTTTTATTTTTAGAAAAGGGAGAGAGTGACTCTTAATGATTATCTACCGTAGTACATTACATGTAGAAGTGCAAGCGTTACTATAATTGCTAATAGCAGAACTTTTAGGAAGCCAAATGAGTTTTTTATAAGCTGAGTTAAAAACTGAAAAGATAAAGAAAATAAATATTAAATAAGCCAATTAAATAAAAAATATATCTAATTAATTAAAAATCAACCAAGCTCATAGGAAATGTAGATATTATGTATATGATAGTATTCCTTTAAATTATTTGAAGCAACAGCTTAATATTTATTAAATAGCATGATAGACACTTAAAATTTTTTATCACGAAAGAGCCCTGGTGTCACTTTGGAATAAACTAACCTCAAAATTGGTGGTTCAGCAGGTTGAACTCCCCAACTGCTCTCGGGGAGAAAGCTGAGACTGTGTGCTCCAGTAAAGAGTTAGAGTGTTGGCATTCCCGAGAGAGTTCTGCTTGTCCTTTAGGGCCACGATGGGTTGGAATCAACTCGGTGATGGTAGCTTTTTTGACTTATTGTGGACTTGGGTGCAGCCAGGAACTGTACTGAACAATTAACATGTATAATTTCACTTTATTCTCATGCTAAGTCTATAAGGCAGGTATGCTCATCCTTAAACTGCACATCTAGAGAAGCTCAGTAGCTCCTCTAATGTAATACAGCCAGTAAGTTGCAAAGGTGTTATTTGAATTCAGACATGACACTCCAAATGCCATGCTGTCACTCTATCACCACTCTAGCCTTTCTTAAGACTGTGCTACATAAACCCCTTTAAAAAGAAAGAATTAGCTAAAAGCTCCTTATACCTGTAGCATCAGTATAATTATGAAGCCAAAATAAATTTTCAAACAAATTGAACTGAAACCGAAATTCCAAGTAGTATCCATAGCACAATAGTTAATGCTATTAACTATTATAAATAGTCATTTTCTAAAGGCAAATCATTGTCAGTGACTTTAATAGTAAAAGGTGGTCTAATGTGTGTTTATATTTTCAGTCAATGATAATAGAGAATAGCTTTTTACACAAGTATATTGTTAAAAGTGGTTTTAATACATTTGAGGCTTTGTTTGCAAATTTATTATATACTTAGCTTAAACTTTGTCAGTGAGCAAACTTTGAATGTTGTTAACGTGTAACCATTTGATAACGCTGTTATACAGTAGGTGAATTTTGAGATGGCGGGGCTAGCATACTAGCTGTGGTAGGCTGAATAATGCCTCCCAAAGATGTCCCTGTCCTGATCCCTGTGAACATGTTAGGTTATACATCAAAGAGGAATTACAATTTCGAATGGAATTAAAGTTGTTAACCAAGCGCTCTAAAATAAAGTAGGAAGGCTATCCTGGATGGTCTGGGTGAGCTCAATGTAATTATATAATTAAAAGCAGGAGAGGGAGGCGGATGAAGAGAGTGGACAGCCTGTGAAGATGAGGGCAAAGCCAGAATGGCAAGCGATGGGCAGGATTGGACTGGACACTCCTGCCTTTGAAGAAGGAGGAGGGGGTTCTTGACCCAAGGAATGGGGTGGCTCCTAAAATCTAGAAAACGCAGACATGGATCCTTCCATAGGGCTTCCGGTTAGGCAGTACAGCTCTGTAGACATTAGCTAATTGCTAGGATTTATCACATTTATTTAAGCTTTACCACTGCATTTATTGCTACATTTATTTTAGATTGGTATGTTTAGTAACCATATGTTCAGCGATGTCATGTTTAAAGTTTCTGGCATTTGGTTTTGAGCTTAATCTATTCAGCCACATTGTTTCTTTGATTATGCATTTTTTTTTAAGTACTCAAATATTCTTGCCACATTCCAAAATTCCTGTCCTCGTCTCTCTTAATGGTGCAAGGTGCCTTCCGGTTGCTTCTGATTCGTAGCAGCCCCACATACAACGGAATGGGAAATTGCCCAGTCCTGGGGCCAACGTGCCCACGATCCCGTTTTGAGCTCATTGTTGCCGCCACCGGGCAGTCTCTTGCGTGGGGCTTTTCCTCGTTCTCGCTCACCCTCCACGCTACCAGGAGAGAGACCGGGCGTGGAGTGGTTTTGTCTGTTTTGTGCAGACTAATTGCAAAGAATAATTTCCTTGATGCACATTCAGCCTTTAGGCTAAGCAAGAAAAAATAAATGTTAAATGCTATTACTTAAGGATATATATTACATGATTTCATTCAAATTGGAAAAAGCAAAAGCAACAAGACACATTACCAGCCTAGGGAAAATTAAGCAGATAAGATATAAAGGAAAATTCTGTTTCCATAAACTAGAATTTGTTGGATTGCAGTTTGTTCTTGTTTTTGTTGCCCCTGCAGTTTTTAGGGAAATGTACTTTTAACTGGTAAAAATATCAATAACTTCTCATATGGTAGAGGTAGTTTTCTCCAGCTGATCTTTATCTTACGTGGCATTTGGGGACATTTGTAACCTTGTTAACCTAGGAACATTGGAGTTCCTAGGTTTTCGTGACAGTCTAGTTTTTCATTTTTGCTTCGTCTTAAAACTTTTATTTTGGGGCCCCTCTTACTCTGCCTGTTAAATATTGGTGTCCTCGGTAACCTGTGCTAGCTCACCTTCTCCATGTGGCCCTGTGTCCTATAGTGGCCTCATTTGCAGTGGCTGTGCTAAAGATTTGCAAATCTCTCTTAGATATTTCTCTTGATTTCTCAGTGTCTGCATCCCAATTTTTTATTGAATGTTTTCCTTTTGGGACAGTGAAAGTACAAAGAACAGAGTGTTTGGGGAACAGTCTTGTCTGACTGGCACTGGAGGGCCTAGCAAGGAAATAAGACTAGAGAGATTGGTTATTGATTCATTCAAGTGGCACCATTCTAGTCACTCGATTACATCAGTAAATGAAGATGTAACAACCACAATAGCCTTCCATTATGGAGTTTGTTTTCCTGTTTGTTTCACGTGTGTGTGTGTTATGTGTGTGTAGTGAAGATGGTGGAGAAATAAAGTACACGTGACCTATTAGTAAAAGACGTCGTGTGAAATGTTTTGAGAATGATGAGGGCAATGAATGTACAAATGTGCTTTACACAATTGATGTATGTATGGATTGTGATAAGAGTTGTATGAGCCCCCAATAAAACGATTAAAAAACAAAGATGTAGTATGTTCATAAAAGGAATGAAGGAATACGCCATGCAGATATCTGGAGGAAGGATGTTACAGAAGAGAGAGCCAAAAACACAAAAGCTCTGAGGAGGCAATTCGCAGAGACAAGGAAGCACAGTAAGCCAGGGCCGCGGAGTCAGAGATGAGATGGAGACACACAGAGGAGCCCGCTTGCACACGGCGCTGCGAACCGTTGTATGGACTTGGGCTCAGTGAGATAGGAAGCCCTCGGAGAGTTTCAGTCAGAGATGTGTTGTGACCTGCCTTGCATTCAGACTGTATCTCTCTGGCTCCAGTGTTGATAGACTGTTCCTGAGGCAAAGCTGACGGAGAACCAACTGGAAGTCACTCACAGTAATGTAGGTGAAGGAGAATGATGGCTTAGAAAAACGTGTAGTGTGGAAGTGATGGGAAGTTAGCAGTCTGTGTGTTCTTTTGAGGTAGGATCAATAGCATTTCTGGATGGCTTAGACTGAGGATGGAAGAAAAGCCGAGCCAGGGTCTAGCTGGGCAAATAAAGGATGGAATTGTCAAGTAATGACACAGGGAAGACTGTATGGGTGACGCATGCACAGTGGGGGACTGAAGTGGTTGCCAAGAATTTAATTTTGGTCCTATGAAATGGATATGCTTGTTAGGCATCCAAGCAGAGTGTTCATCAAAGGATGTAAGAAACACATACAAACAATAGACATGGAGGTGAAGCCTACAGATCACAGGTTCCCAAGCATGCTTAGCTTACTGCTCAGGTCGGCATTCAAGAGCATTACACCTTTTTGGTAGTTCTATCTTTGAAGGTTAAAAATATTATCTGTATAAGCTATACAGGCAGAATAATATTTTCTTTAATTAGAACTCTAGTACATGGGAGTATAGTAAACATTATCCTTGGCCCAGGACCTTCTGTCCTCACTGGCCCACCAGAGGCCTGCTTTTATTTAGTTAATATTTTCAATAACATAATAATAACCTGCACACCCACCACCCAGAAAGTTCTTGTACTGTAGCACTGCCAGCGTCCTGAGGCGCTGCCTAGACGAGGGCCTGGGCCATTTGCATCCCGTCCTGGTGCTCTCCACTGGGTGCCCTTCAGTCAGCAGAAAGCAC